CGTTCGACAAAAGCAGGAAAAATGATTCGGAAATGCAATTATTGACCCAAAGAAAACAGAAAATGCCACCATGTGACAGTCTGGTGGAGGGATAAAACTATTTACATATAATTATTTATTTATTTATTTATTTGATTGTTTGTCCAGTACAGTAAACAGGGGACAACGTTCGACAAAAGCAGGAAAAATGATTCAGAAATGCAATTGTTGACCCATAGAAAACAGAAAACGCCACCATGTGACAGTCGGGTGGAGGGCTAAGTTTGATCATAGATAAGACGGGTTTTTTTTTTTTTTTTCTAATAATCAGAGATAAAATGTTTGAACGGATGGAAATGTACAATTATTGCCGGCATCAGATACTGTATGCGGATGCGGGTGAGGGTCTAGTCTAGTCGTCTAGAGGTCAGGTCCATGTGAAATCGAAAAAGAAATGCCACTCAATTATGAATGAGAATGATGAAGTTTTTGTGGCTCAAATGGGTACATACCTTTTGTTCAACTCCTCAACTGGTGCAAAGAAATCCTTCAACTTAGATTTGTAGCAAAAGTGCGGACACTTATATTATAGTGTTGACACTCTAAGTAATTTTCAGTTTAGAAAACTTGTATTTATAATTTTATTTTATTTTTTTGGTGCTTCCCTTTGCCCCAATTAATTTGGAATCAATTTAAGTTAGGTCGTATGAGGAAAAAAACTTTTTCAATACCTATCTCTCTGTTTATAATACTTAAACTTAAAAGTTTATTTAAAAAAATTAAATTTTTTTTATTTAAACACAAAAGTCGTTAGGAATATTGTTCTACTTTTTTACCAAAGTTTTTTAAAATATATCAAAATATTGAGTTTAATTGTAAAATAATTACATATTTCATTTTCATTAATAAAAGTTAAAGATACCACATATATTGCTTTTTTGTAATATATGAATCATAAACAATATATGTGGTATCTTTAATTTTTATTAATGAAAATGAAATATATAGTTATTTTATAATTAAACTCCAGATTTTGATCTATTTTAAAAAAACTCTAGTAACAAAATAGAATGAAAATTTTTAACAACCTTTGTATTTAAATAAAAAGACCTTTGTGCTTAAATAAAAAGAATTTAATTTTTCTTAAATAAACTTTTAAGTTTGATTATTATAAATAGAGAGGTAAGTACTAAAAAAAAACTTTCCTTATAAGATCTTACTTGAATTGATTCCAAATTAATTGGGAAAAAAGAAAGTACCAAAAAAATAAGATTAAATTAAAAATACAAGTTTTCTAAGTTGAAAATTACTTAGATGGTCAACACAATAATATTGGTGCCGGCACTTTTGCTACAAATCTAAGTTGAAGGGCTTATTTGCACCAGTTGAGGAGTTGAAGGGCTTAATTAAATCACTTTTAGTTCAAAAGCTTAAATGTTAATTTAGGATAAGTTTATGGGCTTAAAAAGAATTTTCCCTTTTTCTTTTCTCAAATATTTTTCGCTCTCTCTTGTCAATACCAGAGCCCCGTTTACCAAATGTTAATGGCAATTGCTTGCCTTTGACCCTCATGCTGGCAAGGCTGAGCAGGACCTGTTAGTCTTTATTTCTTAGAGTTTCGGTTTTTTAATATTATTGATATTTTATAAGTTTAATTTTTTTTTAATTTTATATTTTTAAATTTTTTTTTAATTTTAAAAAATTTTAAACAGTAAAAATTTAAAAGTTTTAAATTTAAATTTTTTATAAATTTTTGTTTTACTTATTTTTTTTATTTTTAAAAATAAATTTTAAATTTTTTCTCTAATAAAAATTTTAATTTATCAATTATAAATAATATAAAAAAAATAAAAACTTCAGCAAATACCACCGAACAGGACCTAATTCAGAAAAATAACTATTGTCCATGGAAAATGCTAGTTTGTGACCGTGAGAAGAGATACAATGTTTGAACGAATTAAAACATACAATTATTACCAGCGTTGACATCGTGAGCAAGTGAAGGCCTCGAGCTCAGCCAAAATGTTAAATGTAAAATGTGAAATGTGACCTTTTATTTTTTTTAATGAATTTACAGTTTAAAAAAACCCTTGAATTAAAAGATACCTCATACTACCATCGGGCCGCAAGCCCAGATATATGTGAAATGTGACCTTGAAGTCTGTGGACATCAAAGATATAACATTTGACATTTATTGGTGGGGTAAAAAATTGATATATAATATAGGAATGGGTTAAAGTTTTGTAATAAAAAAATTTAAAAATTAATTGTGGACAATATTAATTTGTGACTGTATGAAAAGAGATAAAGTTTGAGCGAATAAGAACGTACAATTATTACTAGCGTCTATAACGGTGAGCCAGTGGGGCCCTCCAGCTCAGCAACCAAGTGAGATGTGACCTTATATTTTTTAAATGAATTTACAAATTAAAATAGAAGATTCGAATCTCAACTTTTCCAGTTAAGAGATATATCGTACTACCGTTTGACCGCAAGCCCAGATATATGTGAAATGTGACCTTGAAATCTGTGAACATCAAAGATATAACATTTGACATTTATCGGTGGGATAAAAAATTGATATATATAATAGGAATGAGTTAAAGTTTTGTAATAAAAAAATTTAAAAATTAATAAAATTATAATTAACAGATAAAATTTAATTAAATTTTATTTAATTAAAATTAATTTAATTTAATTTTAAATAA